AATTTTTGATTTATTGTAGAGATGAGGTCTCACCAAGTTGCCCAGGCGGGTCTCAAACCCACGGACTCAGGCAATTCACTCACCTCTGCCTCCCAAAGTGCGGGATTACAGACTGAGCCACCGAGCCCAGCCTCTCTCAGTATTTCCTAAGTGTCCCCTGCATGCCTGACACTATGTAGGCGCTAGGTCCTTGCCCCATAGAGTGTTCTGGCTTTCGCTATATTTGGAATTGTACAAAACAAAACAAAACCTTTGCATGGCTCCACGTCTACAAATCTCCAAGAGCTGCGTGGCAGCCTCTGTTTTTAAACAAAGCTGCCCTCTGAAGGCCCGCATTAATGACAGGCTGGGGTGAACCAGGCAGCATGGTGGGAGCAGGAAGGGAGGGACGCTGGCCCGTGGTCCTAGCTGCAGGTGGAAGCTTGGTTATTCCTGTCCCTGGCACCACTCAGCAATCTCTAGGTCACATCTGGCTCTGGAATTTGGCAGGCACATTCACCTGCCTATGCGGGTAAACCCTCCCTCCCTGAGCACATGGGTGGGGAAGACACTCACTGCAGAAAATGCTTCATGGTGACAACAGTCTAAGGTTGTTTTCTATTTTTTAAGTCACAACCGGCACACACCTTAGCACTTGTCAATCCCCATAGGCATGAATACCACTTGTCGATTTAACAACTACTATGATGACAGAAGGACATGAGATTCAAATGCAGCAGAAATGTTTGAGGCTAGACATAAGGTAGAACTTCCCACAGGCAGTTGGTAAGTGCTGGGAGAATCCAGAAGTGGGACTCTTCCCCAAGATCAGGTGCCTGTGTCATCCCTTCAGGCCCCACCTCCAGAGAAAGCAGCTTCTTCTGCCACCCAGTGAATTCACAGAAACTCTTTTTGAGAATATGCTAATGGTTGTGCCGGCCACCTATGGAAAACTGGGTTCTGGTGACAGAAATTAGTGCATCGAGATAATCTTTAACCTGTTTCCCTTCTCTCCCTGCTTCCACCTTCCTGTGCTTTATTAGGCCTCCCGCCGGCGCCTGAGGAGCGGAGCAACCCCTCCGGCCCCGGGTGCTGCCCAGCTGGCCTAGGCTGGCAGCCGCGCCATGGCCAGCACAGCCGTGCAGCTCCTGGGCTTCCTGCTCAGCTTCCTGGGCATGGTGGGCACGCTGATCACCACCATCCTGCCGCACTGGCGGAGGACAGCACACGTGGGCACCAACATCCTGACGGCCGTGTCCTACCTCAAGGGGCTATGGATGGAGTGTGTGTGGCACAGCACGGGCATCTACCAGTGCCAGATCTACCGCTCCCTGCTGGCACTGCCCCGCGATCTGCAGGCCGCCCGAGCCCTCATGGTCATCTCCTGCCTGCTCTCTGGCGTGGCCTGCGCCTGTGCGGTCATCGGCATGAAGTGCACGCGCTGTGCCAAGGGCACGCCCGCCAAGACCACCTTCGCCATCCTGGGTGGCGTCCTCTTCATCCTGGCCGGCCTCCTGTGCATGGTAGCCGTGTCCTGGACCACGAACGACGTGGTAGAGAACTTCTACAACCCACTGCTGCCCAGCAGCATGAAATTCGAGATTGGCCAGGCCCTGTACCTGGGCTTCATCTCCTCGTCCCTCTCGATCATTGGGGGCACCTTGCTCTGCCTGTCCTGCCAGGACGACGCACCCTACAGGCCCTACCAGGCCCAGGCCAGGGCCACCACCGCCACCGCGGCCACTGCCCCTGCTTACCAGCCACCGGCTGCCTTCAAGGACAACCGGGCCCCCTCAGTGACCTCAGCCTCACACAGTGGGTACAGGCTGAACGACTACGTGTGAGTCCCCAGGGCCTCCCCCTCCCCAGGGTGGCTGTCAGGGCCACTGGCCGCCCCTGCGGAACTGTGGACAGGGCCGCCCCCGGTTCCAGCACAAAGTTTACTTCGGGGCTATTTTTGAATCCAGTGAAATAATGTGAACATGAGGAATGTCCTTCCAACCCGGGGAATAAGGAGAAACTAAGAAGAGAAAGCACTCCATACCAAAGACTAAAATAAAACAAACCCCTTCCTGTTTTTGTATTTATTATATGTATTTATGTGGGTGATTTAATAGCAGCTTAATAAAAAGTAACTTGGGAGCTTGGTCAGTGGGATTTGTTTCTGACACAGGAATAAATCTTGTGGACGTGGCCGTTTGTGAAATGGACTATATTCATTTCTGTTTCCAGACTGTTCTTCCGTCTTCTAAGGAGCTGGTAACCATAGTCAGCACCTGTTGGGGCTTAGGGCTGCAAAGCCGTGCAGCCGTGCTGACCACCGTACCGTGGAGTTCTGACCCTTGGGGAATGGCCATGGTGCATGATGGGAGCATCTGAGGAGGCCTGAGCTAATATTCGTCCAAAAGATGCTTGAGCCACACTCACAAATAATAGATGCCTTGTCCCAGAGGCAAGACAGGAGGGAGAGAGTTTTCCTTAGAAAAAGACAGTTGCCATAAATTACAAAAGAAGGACAATGTCATCTTCCTCCTGTGAGCAATAGATCCCCACCAGGGAGAAAACAAGAGTCAGAAGGAAAAACAAAACAAAGCGTGCCTGGCAGCTTGGCTTTCTAGGTGCTAGCAAGAAGCCCAGTTAGGAGAGCCATTTGCCCCTAAGACCCTGGCAGGACTTCATCGGCTTCTTTTCTGGGATGGCCAGTCTCAGCTGCCTCTGGGGTCTGCTGGCTGCTCCTGCAGCTGAAAAAAAAGGCAGAGGCTGGACATGGTGACTCGTGCCTGTAATCCTAGCACTTTGGGAGGTGAGGCAGGAGATCACTTGAGTCCAGGCATTCGAGACCAGCCTGGGAAACGTACCAAGACCTCATCTCTACAGAATAATTTTTTTTTTTAATTAGCTGGGCGGGGTGGTGTACACCTGTAGTCCCAGCGACTTGGGAGACTGACAAAGGAGGGTTGCTTGAGCCCAGGAGTTGGAGGCTGTGGTAAGCCGTGATTGGGCTACTGCACTCTAGTCTGGATAACAGTGGGACCCTGACTCAAAAAAAAAGGAATGGCTGGGAGGGCCAGTGAGGCCTGACTTCCCTGAGCACACTGATGGTCCTTGCTGGCTGAGAGCTATACATGATGACAGCTTGGACCTTCACTCCTGTCCACATGGGCTCAAGTCCTTGCCCCACCCCGACAGCACCCTCCTCATCCTCTGCCCCAACCCTCAAGCTCTGAACTAGAAGGAAATACCCCACTCTGTGGAAGGGCCAAGCCTGAGACCTACACACAGAGTGGCTGTGACGTGAAATCTCTCCCTTCTCAATCATCTCGGAGTAGGGCCACCAGGGCCCCGGCCATCACCGTAGGCAGGGAAGAGCCACGAGGGGTCAGTGGCAGACATGGAGCCAGCTGGCCAGGCTCACTGGTGTGACCTGGGGTCCCTCGAGTGCCAGGGAGGCTCTGGGAAAAGGGTCAAGAGGCATGTGTCCAAAGGGAAGGCCAGACAAGATGCAGACCAAAGCCCCCAGAACCCCTGACTTCGTGCCTCTTCCTGACCTGGTCAGATCCTCCAGGCCTCAGACCAGGCCCTCCAGGTGGCACTTGCTTCTTCATAGGTAAAGGCTCTCACTGGTAATGTGCCCCTTGAGTAATCTTCTCCTGATTCCTTTAGGCTTCACCATTTATACCTAATAAACTGCACTGCAGAGGAACTCTCTCAGGGGCTTTCTAGCAATGTTGAAAAGTAGAGGGACTTAGGAATGGTCCTGCACACATTCACATATTTATTTTCTGTTTTGTGTGAGGCTCTAGACCCCAGGCAACAGGTGACACATCTGGAAGGATTGAGTCTCACACATCTGACCACAGAGACGCTAAGAACGCTAGGGATCTGCCATCCCATTTAGGCTAGGCATTGAGATCAGAAAGGTCATTATTTATTTATGATGAAACAGTTTTAATCTACTCCTTAAATTATAAAAAATGAATAAATCTGAGTCAATAAGGAAGGGAAATAAATATTCTACTAACAGAGACCGGGCATAGTGGCTCACACCTGTAATCCCAGCACTTTGGGAGGTCAAGGTGAGAGGATTGCTTGAACCCCAGTGTTCGAGTCCAGGCTGGACAACATAGTGAGACCTCTTTTCTACAAACAACTTAGCCAGGCATGGTGACCTATACCTGTTATTCCCAGCTATGTAGGAGACAGTTGGGAGGATGATTCAAGCCCAGGAGTTTGAGGCTGCAGTGAGTTAAGATCATATCACTGCACTCGAGCCTGGGTGAGAGTAGGACCTTGTTTCTAAAAAGGAAAAAATCTTCTACTAACAGAATATTCTGTCAGTTTTTACTTGACGGTCACAATCCAAAATGCATTTAGCGAGCTTATTCTAGTTAACAGACCTATTACAAATGAAAGAAAAAATAACTTTTTCAAACTCTTCCTCTGAAATCTGTTACTAAAATAAAATATCTCTGCCTCTACTCAAGTGAAAGACTAATAATAGTGATTATAATTTATTGGTCACTTACTAGATACTAGGCACACTTTTCATTTATTAATTTGATCCAATGAGATAAATGAGAAACCAATGAGATAAATATTATTCTTAACCCCATTTTACAAAGGAGAGAACTAAAGCGCAAAGAGATCAAGTTACTTGTCCCAGATGAAAGAGCATGTGAGAAAAGACTCAGGATTCAAACCCAGACAGATAAACAGCAGGGGGGAGTACATTAACTCAAGTAAGGGCATCACCTATCGTCTAATCACATTTATGTCCAGTCTATAACCCAATAGTTAAGAGAATTTTTTCATAGAGCCATATTTGGCTCTTTTCAGAACCATTGCTCCACAGAATTTCTGTTAACTAAGTCCCAGCTGGATTGGACGAAAGGTGGTAACAGACCCGAGGTCCAAGAGTAACTCCCCATGGGCAACAGGAAGTGGCACACAGGAAGTGACGTACCATGGTTATGTCCTACAACTGGCCAGCCAAGATGAGAAGTTGACCAAATAAGACCTTGATTCCCTCCCCCAGGCAACAGGCTGTAGGAAAGCAGTTCCCCATTCTTCTTCCTCTCTTGTTTTCATAAGTACCTCAGGGCCACAAGACAACTGTGGCTATCAAGTAGACATCCATGTCTGCCTAAATCTTCAAGACTAGGAATTATCTGATAAACTGTGAAGTATGTATAAAGCACTTCTGCATACCAAAGTATGATGGTTTGGTTTTGTTTTTGTGGAGACGAGGTCTCGTTATATTGGTCTCAAACTCCTAGACTCAAGCAATCTTCCCTCTTCTGCCTCCCAGAATGCTGAGATTATAGACATGAACCACCACACCCGGCTAGGACTAGGAATTCTTAACCAAGGTTGTTTGGACAAAACTGTGGTCTCCTTGTAGAAGTACAACACACAACCCCAAATTTCAGAATGAAAAGGAAACATGAGTCAGACTTATGTTTTCCAGGAAACTGTTATTTAAGGTATAAATTTACAACATGACCCTTATGGATTAAGAAATGCTATGTTTCTTTGTTTCTCTAAATCAAGTCAAATTTGGCTCTGATCCAGAGAGCTCTAAAGTCATTACAAAACTTACAGTTTATATTAAAGTCAACCAGGTTTTCTGGTTCTCTCCCCCTGTATTTAGGAAATCTCAGGGCCCCAGCACTAAGGGAGTCCCTAGACTCAGAAGTAGTGGAGTATTCGGTCCTTGGAGTTGCCCTGGTTACCCACCAAATACCAGGCCTGAAGCCTTTACAGCCCAGGGGCTCTCAGTGCTTCTCCATCCACTCCCATGAATAGGCACTGGAATCTTCTACACCATAGAACCCTGGAGAAAACATAACCTTTTCCCCAGGCAGTCTCTGGGAAGTCACCTCCCGAGATGGGGCCACCACCCTAATACACACAAAACACCTGACCATTCCCCTCTTGGACTACACACCTAATTGCTTCCACGAGTTTAGCCTTTTGAAATCAAAGGCCTCTGAAATCTCCCAGAGATCCTATTGTCATGTCAGCCTCTATGACCCTTAATGGAAATATTTTGAAAGTGACAGTACATTCAAAATATATCTAGGCTGGGCACAGTGGCTCATGCCTGTAATCCCAGCACTTTGGGAGACCAAAGCAGGAGAGCAGCCTGGGCAACAGAGTGAGACTCTGCCTCTATATTTTTTAAAATGTGTATAATAACTATCCTTTCCTTGATAGTGATAACCAGAAGATGGGGCCAGGGTTTGAAGGTGCAAATCCTTCAAATCTTGGTCCCAAAGTCCCACACTTGGCCACAATGCCATCTTGCTTCTCCCTGCATTGGTCCCTGTGTCCTTCACTGCCAGGCAGAAGGAACAGCACAGATGGCAACAATCCCAGCAATAGATACAGGTCTGGACCAGGCAGTGGCAGTGGAGAGGTGAGAAGCAATGCGGATGGGTCTGAAGGTAGAGCTGAGGGGATTTACGGATAGCTCGGTGTGGGTAAGGAAGGAAAGGAGCTTTAAGGATGATGCCAAGTGGGACTGGATCAACTGGAAAAAATAGGTTTTGGTGAGGTAGATCAAGTTTGTGTTACATGTGTTTGATCTGAGGTGTCTCAATTGGAGATGCTGAGTACTTAGATACAAAAAGCCAGAGTTAAGAGAGAAATCAGCCCAGAGCTGGAGTTTAAACCATGTAGCTAGAAAAGATCACATTGGCAAGGCAGGAGGCTCACTTGAGAACAGGAGTTCAAGGCTGCAGTGAGCTATGATCACATCACTGCCCTCCAGCCTGGACAACAGAGCAAGATCCTATCTCTAAATAAATAAATAAACAAATAAATAAATAAATACAGCTGGATGCAGTAGCTCATGTCTGTAACCCCAACACTTTGGGGAGGTTGAGGCAGCAGGATTGCTCAAACCCAGGAATTTAAGACCAGCCTTGGCAACATAGCAAGACCCTATCTCTATTAAATAAAATAAAATAAAAACAATCCCATCAAAAAGTGGGCAAAGGAGCCAGGCTCAGTGGCTCAGCCTGTAATCCCGCGCCTTTGGGAGGCTGAGGTGAGTGGATTGCCTGAGCCCGCGGGTTCGAGACCCGCCTGGGCAGCGAGACCTCATCTCTACAATAAATAAAAAAATCAGCCGGGTGTGGTAGCGCATGCCTGTAATTCCGGCTACTTGGAAGGCTGAGGCAGAAGGATCGCCAGAGCCCAGCA